CCTTTGCAAAAGTTGTCATGCTTTAATACTTATATATAAACACTACAAATGAATTGATACCTGAAAGTCCCTCCCCCCTCCTCCGGTGGTACCGAAACACTGCTCTGGCTCATGGACTATTAGTGACCCCTTCGAGGGGGAAGGGGAACGCCTTCATGCTAAAGGGCTTTTGATTTAACGAATTTAAGCCATTGTCTCCTTCCTTGGATCGAACCTGATAATTCCGTTGTTCAGCTTAGGGATACTCCGTCCCTCAGCTTAGGGATGCTCCGTCCCTCAGCCTAGGGATGCTCCGTCCCTCAGTCTAGGGATGCTCCGTCCCTCAGCCTAGGGATGTTCCGTCCCCCAGCCTAGGGATGCTCCGTCCCTCAGCCTAGGGATGCTCCGTCCCTCAGCCTAGGGATGCTCCGTCCCTCAGCCTAGGGATGTTCCGTCCCTCAGTCTTGATAAAGATTCTCAAGTGTGTCGTTGGAGCTAGGTAATCTTCCTCTTTCTTTCTTTTTTTTCCCAACCCTTCAAAACACCTCTTTCCATCTTTCCTTCCTCAAGCTAAGTTTTTTTTTTTCCTCGCGGGTGTGTGTGGGAAGAAGAATGAGGTGGCAAACTCGCACCTTCTTAATTTCGGCTCTAAATCCGAAAATTAGCATATAGATGGTCACATTCTGGGTGCAGAGAACCTTAATTTACTCCCAGGTGACTCCCACCTAGGGGATAGACGTCTCCTCTGCCTGTTACGTGATGGAGATGTCCTTTGTGTATGTTACGAAAGGAATAGATGATCCCTATAATTGTCAACTGAAGAATATATATCTCCTGTGCTTTGTTACCATAAGAATAGACGCTATCTGTTTATATTGAGAGACAAAACGTTTCTGGTAGTGTATCTGAGAAAACAGAGGAACCTCTCAACTATGGTATTCCTCAGGAGAGGCACCTGGAGGAGTAGGAACAGATTTAACCTGGTGATTAATGCAGGCAGCAGCAGACAAATACCGCTACAAGATAGATAGCAACAGACACATGTAGTTGCAAGGCAGGCAGCAGTAAATAAACATAGTTTCAAGGGCAGGCAGCAGAAGACAAATACAGCTACGAGACAGACAACAGCAGACACACGCAGCTGCAAGGCAGGAGGCAGTAAATAAACACTTCAGCTTCAAGGGGAGGCAGCAGCAGACAAATACAGGTACAAGGAAGGCAGGAGTTGTACATGAGTCATGTTGATAATATATGTTGTGGGGAGACCAAGGTATTGACAAGTGCTTAGTTGATGGAGAGACGGTACATTTGTTCATGCTAGGAGAGGTGCAGGGAGAGAGAGAGAGAGAGAAGAGAAGGAGGATAGAGCGAGAGGGATGGGTAGAGGAAGAGATTGACGGAGGAGATTGAAGGAGAGGGTGAGATGATGATATATATATATATATATATATATATAATATATATATATATATATATATATATATATATATATATATATTATATATATATTATATATATATATATATATAATTATATAATATATATATATATATATATATATATATATATATATATATATATATATATATATATATATATATATATATATATAATATATATATAATATATATTATATATATATATATATATATATATATATATATATATAATATATATATATATATATTATATATATATAATATATATATATATATATATAATATATATATATATATATATATATTATATAATATATATATAATATATATATATATAATAAAGTATATATATAAGTATATATGATATATAGTAATATATATATATAGTATATATGATATAGTATGATATATATAATATAGGTATAAGATGAATAAGTAAAAAGTATATAAACATAAATATGAATACAGATAATATGATAGTAGACGAGGAGAGAGGAGATAGAAGCGAATGAGAGTCGAATAAAGAAGAAAGTGAGAGGGAAGGTAAGAAAGAAGAAAGAAAAGAAGAAATAAAGGTAAAAGCAGATAAAAACATAAAAGGATACAACAAGGAAAATATGGAGTGAGAAGCAGAGTGAGAGTAGAAGCTGTGATATTTACTAGAACTTTGATCATATAGGTCCCTCAGAATTCGTAACAATAAAATAGCAATAATGTACAACATACACAATAAAAACAAAGTTTAAACTACTATCATGAATAAAATACACAAAACAGTTAGTGTCATACCAAGTTAAAACAACTTGTAGCAGCTACAAAAAAGTATTAAATTATTAATGTGAAAAGAATCCCCTTAAAGTTCCCCGAGATCCCTACAAACAACTCGGTAATTATAAAAACATGACGAAGGTGGAAAGGCCTAAATTGTAGGTAAACTGTTAAAATATGTACTCCAGTCGCCAGCACGACACATGGTATTGTCTGCAGAGGGGGACAGGAGCACCTGCAAACAGGTGACTATGGGTGAGATGGTGTGCCCGATCTTCAGTCGACAGAGATTCGTCTCAAGGTGACGATTCCTGTTGAAGGAGGAAAGCCAAATATCCGTGTCCTGTTGACGCGTCTATAACTTGCTGCTAGTTTGTAGGGCCCACCAGGCCCGCCACGCCCCAAAGACATATCTGTCTAGTATAGAATGAGAGGGAGCGGAAGAATGAAAGGACGAGGGTGAATAAGAGGTATGTTCGATTGAAAGGGAACAGTAGGTAGGTTGAATTCCTTCCCCTCTGCCTCCATCTCTTACTCACTTTTTTAATATCACTCTCCTTTGTTCCTCATTTTTCCTATCTCCATGACTTCCTCCTCTTCCTCCCTCCCTCTTTCCTTCTCTAAATCCCCTCTTGCCTTCGTCCCTCCCTCCATTTTGCCCTTCCTTGCTTCCTCTTTCCCATACCCCCTCGCTACCTTACGCCCATCTTTCCTTTACTACTGGTCTATTTCCTTCGCTCTGTTACACCCTGGTTCTCCTTCTTCATCCCCTCCAGCATCTCTTCCTCCCTGGCTCTTCCCATCTACTATATCTCCCTGCATCCCTCCAGCTCTCCATCTCTGCATCCTTCCCTCCCTGGTTCCTCCCTTCTCTCCTTCTCTGCATCCCTCCCTCCCTCTCTCCTTCGACTCGCTGGCCTCAACATTAACGTTCAGATGAAGACTAACAGACAAACATCACATGAGGAGGACGTGATAGGAAAGTTGATGCTTCTTTAATGTCTTCTGCAAAGGGGGAGAGAGAGAGAAAGAGAGAGAAAGTAGGGAAGGGACGTAGGGAAAGGGAGAGTCAAGGCAGAGCAACAGGTGTAAGGAGACTTGCCTGAACGTCTTGCCCTGTCGTAGATACCACCCACAAGAGAGTACCAACACACTGATACCTATTTATTACTAGGTGAGGGGGGGAGCAGGAGCTGTGACTAGACTTGACCATACATCTTACCCACAAGAGGCGACTATCGCCCAGATATCTAATCTGTTTACTGCTGCGTTAACAGTGGTAACAGACCTTGTCCACGCCTCTTGCCCTTCAAGAAATCAAGACGGAGCCTGTAGGTTGCATTTCTCGCCCTCTGGCAGAGTGCTAACCACTGCTTATCATTCTATGAGTGATCATACCACTATAACACTGTCATTTCAAACCTCTGCTTATAATGATATCATGAGTACATTAATTAGAATATTAAATTGTGTTTGCTATTAAAAATCCGGCATTTTTAATTTCATTTCGTGTTGTAATTGGAAAAAAACGGTCATTAAATTGTTTAGGCATGAATATGTATTTGCTTTCATTTGATCTGATAACCGAAATGAGTTTGATTAATGACGGTGACAGACACTAATGTGATATTTTATTGCATTGGACTCGAGTTAGCGCTGGCTGGCAAAAAGTGGCGACATGTATGGTAAAGAGATACAGTTTACTCAGTAAACTGTATCCCTTGATAAAGCTGTACATGAACCGAAACACAGATACATAGAGCGAAACAAAACTTGATACAGCTCAACATAAAGCGAAATACAGACTTAGTAAATCTCTGTGTTTTGTGACTGTGTTTTACTCAGTGTTGTGGTTTACCGAGTAAAAATATCAGCAATGTTCTTGCGTCAACCAGGACTCGTGATGTTCATGGTAATGCTCACGGGTATGAGTATAAAGGAACAGAACGTGGAAGAAGCTTTTGTTCGGAAAATGTTTTGTTCAGGGTAGAGCTTTATCAAATAAAGCTAGACCCTAAGTGAGACGTTGTCCCAGTGAGAGTTTGTTCTACACACTGTGTGTTTCTTCTCACAAAGATTTCATTTAGATTTTGCCGCCGAAGCGGCTAGTTTGTGTGCTCCATATCCATCTTTCGGCTAGCCTTTGCATCCTATATGTATCCTATGGACGGTAGCGGCTAGGTTATTGTGCACTCCATATCCATCCTGTGGCGCTAGTGCGAGAGCATATGGATATACAAAAGGCCTAAAAACTAGGCCTGAAAAAGGGGTTAACAGAAGCACATTTCTATTTACATCTACAATTTGTCTTATCTGCTGCAATTTATTTAGGATATTTGCTTAATATGTCTGAAATCTTATTTTAATTAATTAGATGCTTTGAAATATACCATAGGTTATTATGCTGTCTCGAAATTATACCCACAAAGACCCGAGAAACGACACCAAAGCTAGAAAAATATTAAAGATAATATTCCCAGGAGACTTCATTGATCATTATCTCAGACATATCTCTGCAGTTGATAAGAATAAGATATATTTTATGTAGAGAGTTTTGCCTTGCGTTGCGAGAGCCTGAGAGTGTACGCATTAAGCTGCATACGATTATGGCTGTTTTCCCAAACATCTTGCACGAGACAGTCTGTCTTATGGTCGTGAAGCTCACGGTCGGAGGTCCCGTGGCACAACAGAGAACCACTTAAGAGGCAGTTAAACACTTTAATGATGTGGGGAAAGGTTTAGAGTGTTGGCAGAAGGGTAATTTCTGTATGTAAATGTCCCATCGAGTACTGATATTTTATTTCTCCTTTCCAGTTTGCACTTGGCTGGTCGGGAGTGTGCCGAGGAGGACGAGAGAGAACACGAGATGGTGTGTGGCAGAAGAGCTGGTTCCACAGTGTTGGTGTGGGCCTGGGTGTCGTGGCTCACCTCTGTCGTCATGCTCCTGGGGCAGATAAGGTCAGAGGTCACGGCCACTGGAGTTCAGCTTTCGGGAGACTTGATGCTGGGTGGGCTCTTCCCTGTCCACGAAAAGGGTGACAAGACGCCATGTTCCTCAGCTGTATATGATAGAGGTCTCCAGAGGCTGGAGGCCATGTTATACGCCGTCGATCTCATCAACAATGACTCGAACATCCTCCCCAACATCACTCTGGGTGTTCACATACTAGACACATGTTCCAAGGACACATATGCCCTAAATCAGTCGCTGGAATTCATCCGAGTTTCATTAGACGCTCTGGACACCTCGGGACTAGAATGTTCAGACGGAAAGGCCCCAAGAGTGAAATACAGAGCCAAGCCTGTGAGAGGAGTAGTTGGTGGCTCCTACAGCTCAGTAAGTTTACAGGTGGCGAACCTGTTCCGTCTGTTCCACATCCCTCAGGTGAGCCCGGCGTCCACAGCCCGGGCGTTATCCGACAAGGACCGTTACGAGTTCTTCGCGCGGACGGTGCCTCCAGATACCTTCCAGGCTATGGCCATTGGACGTGAGAATGTTCAACTGGTCATACATCTCCACATACATTGAAGGCATCTTATGGCGAGTTTGGTAGGGGTGATCCATAACTTGGCCATGGCAGAAACATCTGCCTCCTGTGTCTGAGAAGATCCCGCAGACGTGACCATAAAGTCTTCGACAGGCTGTTGGAAATCTGCTGAAAAGCCAACAGCTGAGCCGTGGTTCTTCACCTGCGAAGATGCAGGTAGGTCAGTTTTACCTAATCCAGCAATGTTGATGGACTCACGATAGGCTTACGGATTGAATATTTTATATGTATACTATCTCATATATCATATCTGATAGATATTATATATATTATTATTATATATATAATATATAATAAAACTATAATAAATATCTGTATATAAATATATATATACATATAAAATTTAAAATTGATATATTGTATAAAAACAATATAAATATATTATATATATATATATATATAATATATATATTATAAACATATAATATATATATATCAATAGCTTAAAATATATATATATATATATATATATATATATATATATATATATATATATATATATATATATATATATATATATATATAACAGCTCTACCAACGCGCTTGGTGCCTGTTACCGAGTATAATGATCCAATTACGTTTCCAGGGGCCTGCTGATTGATAACCCTCTTTCAGATACTTATGTTTCGACACTATATTATTATATTCAGAGGCAAGCACTAAGCCCTCATGGGTCATGCAGCACCAGAGGCTACATTTCAGCTTCTGCGAATTCTCTATATTTACTAATTCCAGGTAATCTTCACGTTTCCAGGTTTCGGTACACATTTGCGCCGGTATTATTTAAGCAATAATATAATAACTCGGAGATCTAATTTACTGCAAAAAGTTCATCATAGACTGAATGGTACCGAGAGCTTGCATCCTGGCGTTCGATGCTTCATTTTACTGCTTCGCACAGCAACCTGGGACAAACTTCTGTAAAGTGCTGTGTGTGGGGTGGCGACTAGAGGGGACAGAATATGAAATAAAATGCAAAATACTGAGATTATGAAGGCGGCTTTTTTTTTTTTTTTTAATTTTTATAAGCCAGATGCATCTGAGGTGTGTGTGTGTGTGTGTGTACTCACCTAATTCACCTAATTGTGGTTGCAGGGGTCGAGACTCAGCTCCTGGCCCCGCCTCTTCACTGATCACTACTAGGTCCTCTCCCTCTCTGCTTCCTGAGCTTTGTCATACCTCTTCTTAAAACTATGTATGGTTACTGCCTCCACTACTTCACTTGCTAGGCTATTCCACTTCCTGACGACTCTATGACTGAAGAAATACTTCCTAACGTCCCTGTGACTCGTCTGAGTCTTCAGCTTCCAGTTGTGACCCCTTGTTTCCGTGTCCCCTCTCTGGAACATCCTATCTCTGTCCACCTTGTCTATTCCCCGCAGTATCTTGTATGTCGTTATCATGTCTCCCCTGACCCTTCTGTCCTCCAGTGTCGTCAGTCCGATTTCCCTCAACCTTTCCTCGTACGACATTCCCCTGAGCTCTGGGACTAGCCTTGTTGCAAACCTTTGTACTTTCTCTAACTTCTTGACGTGCTTGACCAGGTGTGTGTGTGTGTGTGTGTGTGTGTGTGTGTTCTTGCCTATATATACTCGCCTATATGTGATTTGTCTTAGCTCTTGGCTCCTCTGCACTGGCTGCTATTGAGTTTTCTCTCTCCTGTCCTGTGTTCGTGGACCCTGTCGTGCCTAATCTTAAAACTATGTATGGATCCCGCTTCTACCACTTCGCTGTCTAGGTCATTCCACTTTTTAAACACACTGAACATAAAAAATATCCTAACATCCCTGAGATTCATCTGAGTTTTTAACTTCTAGTTGTGCCCTCATGTTCTTGTCACCCGCCTCTCCAACAATCTGTCCCTTTCCATCCTCTCAATTTCTCTCGATACGTCTTGGTATGTGGTTATCATGTCATGTCCTGTTCTCTGATGTCATCAGGTATGCAGCGAGATTAGTTTCTGAGCTAAGGTGTATGTGCTGTGAGGCGAGACTAATGGAGCTAAACCATATAAAATTAGGTTCAGCTCCTTCATTCTCTTTTTATTGCACCTATCCCTTAGCTCTGAAACTAATCTCACTGCAAACCTCTAAACCTTCTTCCAGCTTCTTGATATACTTGATCAGGTGTGGGTTTCATATTGATAATGAATACTCCAAGATCTGATGTACATGTGGCGTTTTTAGTGGCGTGACTAACGCCTTGATGAGAGTTCTATAAGCCAGTCTTCAGTATTTCAGAGGCGCGTTTCCTGGGGCATATACTCGGTTCAAGAGCGCTTCAGGTGATATGTTTGACACTACGCTCACCCCAAGGTCCTCCTTGAGCGAACCTTGCAGATTCTCTTTTCCGAGCCTGTATTCAATTTCCGATCTTTTCCCTTTTCATATTTTCAAAACTTAGTATTTGCTGAGGGTTAAATTCTGTCTGCCACTAGTCCAACCAGTGAAGATTCGCTTGTAATAGTTCTTGGTCCTCATATTCGTATTCCATTTATTAGTTTCACCTCTGTACACAGGGGGCATCTCTAACTCTATTTCCTCCGTCATGGCTTTCATTTACATATAGGAAAGCACTGGTTTGGTAATAGAGTTGTGGATGAGTGGAACAAGCTCCCGAGTACAGTTATTCAGGCTAAAACGTTGTGTAGTTTTAAAAATAGGTTAGATAAATACATGAGTGGGTGTGGGTGGGTGTGAGTTGGACCTGACTAGCTTGTGCTGCTGGGTGTAGTACAGTGCTCCATCCTTGAGTGGGGATGACCAGACTGGGTGGGTCATTAGGATAATCCGGGGGGGGGGGACATGGACCTGCTCCGCATGGGTCAGTAGGCCTGTTGCAGTGTTTCTTCTTTTTTATGTTCTTATGTTCTTATAAGAAATAGTACTGGAGCCAGTAATGATCCCTGTGGAATCCCAACCTTCCTATTTTTTTCTTTTCTGAACCCCCTGCCTGGAAAATCATTCGATGTTTTCTTCCTGTTAAAGATTTCTTGGTCCACTTCAGTGCCTTCCCAGTTATGCGTATCTACCCCAAGTTTTTCTGCAGGGCTCTGGCTGCTGCAGTACTGTATCAAAAGTCTTCTTAAAATCCAAAAATATGCTGTCCACCTCTCTCTCTCTCTCTCTCTCTCTCTCTCTCTCTCTCTCTCTCTCTCCTCTCTCTCTCTCTCTCTCTCTCTCTCTCTCTCTCTCTCTCTTCTCTCTCTCTCCTCTCTTTCTTTCTCTCTCTCTCTCCTGCCTCACTTCAGTTATCTTGTCATAGAACTCCAACAGGCTCAAGAGACAGGATTTACCATTCCTAAATCCATACTGGCTGTTTCTGAATCTGCTACTTAACAGGTGTTCCACCACTGTGTGTGTGTGTGTGTGTGTGTGTGTGTGTGTGTGTGTGTGTGTGTGTGTGTGTGTGTGTGTGAGTGTGTGTGTGTGAATAAATAAGAATAACGAGGGTAGAAAGACTTGATAAAGAGTAAATCTTTGTTATAAACAACGTTTATCTCCACATAGAGCTTTATAAAGAGCTTTAATGTGATAAAGCTCTATACAGTACTTGTCATCCTACAATACCTGCCATCCTACAATACCTACCCTCGTACAATAAAAATCGAAGTTGGTCAGGCATAAAATTTTGTTGCCAAATCGATGTTGATTTCCGGATAATATGTTATCTTTTATAACAGTAATTATCTTGTCTCTAACAATCTTGTTCATTTGTGTACATAAAACCGAAGTTAAGCATATGAGCGATACTGAAGGCACCAATCTTGTCTCTCTCTTTTTAAATATTGGAAAACACTTTCTTGTTTCTGGTCCTGTGGCGACTTACTTTTTGATGCTGCTGCACAAAGTATTGTGTATTTGTACATAAATTTGAAAGTCATTATCCTTATCATTATTATTACAATGACGTTAGTAAATGATTTCGTCTCTACGTTCTTTAATAACTCTGACAGAGACCTCGTCTGCGCCACTTGTTCAAAACTGTTTTCTTAAATCCTGTCTCCTCTATCCATCTCTCTAATTCTCCATTCCCATCCTCCTCCTTTTTTCACGTCTTCCCTCGATTGATTTCTCTATCTCTTTATTCGTGTCACTTTCTCCTCCTTCCGTTATCCTAGCATCTGTCCTCTCTCCATTTTTCATACTTTTTCTCCGTATCTTTTTCCATCATTTTCTTCTTCATAATTTTTCATCCCTCCCGGAGGAAGTCTTTCCATTGTAATCTGTCCCTTTTCTCCTCCTCTCATTTGTGCCCTCGTTCCATCCCTCCACCCCCTCCCTCCTGTCATTTTCCCCTTCCCTTCTCTCTATTCCTCTTCCCCTCCCTTGATCACACCCTCCTCCCATTCTCTCTCTCCCTCCTTCAGTCCTTCTCTTCCTCATTCCCATCTTTTTCTCCCTCTTTCATTCTATACATCCTCCTTTCAGTAATGCCTCTCATTCCTCTCCCTCCCTCTTTTAGGTCTTTTCTCCCCTCTTCCTTATTTCCTCCCTACCCCCATTTTTTCTCTCTCTCCCATCGCCTATATCGCTGTGTCTCCCTCTAACTTAAGACTCATAAGTTTACCACAACAGACACTAACTTTGTCCTGGAAAACTAAGAGGGAGACCCGAGGGAGAGAGGAAGGTTATG